ATCTGTGAGCCAGTCTTGAAAGCACGGGAAGCGCGACCAGAGTTTCTCAAATGAATGTTTCTCAACTTTTATGTGACTATATATTTTGTAAACATTATTTACATGATTAAATATGTGATTAATTTAATTTTAGCAAATTACAGTAGAACTCCAATTATCGAACTCCAATCATCCGAACTCCAATTATCCGAACTCCGACTATCCGAATCGCCGACTATCCGAATCACTTTCAGAAAAAAAATTGTCCAAAAAAAGTCTCAGTGCGCTATTATTCTTTCACCAGCAAAGCCAGTGTAGGCACATTGTTTGTTTTGATTTGACGGAGATGTTTACAAAACAATGATTTTATTTCTAAACTTGTACATAAGTACATTTATTTATATTTAAAACATGTGAAAATGTCATGTTTCTTTTATTTAATTCAATAAAAAAAATAGTGCAATATCAAAACGTAACTTTTTTTCTTTCCAATGGCAATTTAAAAAAAAAAAACTCGAAATTTGATTATCCGAATCCGTTCCGGATTCGGATAATTGGAGTTCTACTGTATTGGAACTTTCCGTTCCGTAATTTTAAAGTTGTAAAAGATTTACTGAGATTTAAAAGATTTTTGAAAATTTAGAAATTTGAAAAAAAAATTGCCCTGCTTTGAAAATCTTGATTTTATTTTTCTATTTTTTTTTCTAAATTCAATTTTTTTCAAAGCAATCGCGCTGCGTATCTGTTTTAATAGACAAAATATTAATGCCCCTAGGCGCCGCATTGCAGCCTTATAGATTCGTACTTATGTTGAAAATTTTATTAGTAGTCCAGTCATTATAGTAAGTTCACTCGGAATTCGAGATACCCAGCTGTAAGTCTGTAAATACTTGTATATTGACACTAAAAAGTGTCAATATACAAGGTGTTCACCCTACAAATGGTAGGGTGTACCTACCATATGTAGGTTTTGAGACAACTTACGTACTCCTTACCATATGAGACAACTTCTTAGTGTCAATATACAAGTATTTAGCCTTACAACTACTCAATTCCGAGATTCTTACCTAATTTAAGCGTAAATGACTGGACTATAATATCAGATAATTGGTGGGGCATATGCCTAATGATTATTTTTGACCCCCAAATGCCATTTTTTTAGTTTTTTCACTTGATCTCCGAATCGCTCAACCCGTCTTTCCAAAAATTTATTCAGATTTAATTTTATTAATGCAAATAAATAACCATTTTTTGTCATTTTTTACCCGTATCTTCGAAACGGCTGGGCCTGCCTTGACCAAAAACGTTAGCACATCTCTTTATCAATAGGAGTTGAATGTTTTTTATTCTAATCGGTTCATAAGCGTAACATGTATGACACAATTTCAAGTGTTTGATTTGATTATAATTCAGAAGATATCGATAAAAAAGCATACAAACAAAAATAAACCTAAAATATACCATGCGTGAGTAGAAATATTCGACCGAAAATAATTTTGTTTCTGTTCTTATTAATAATGTAAGGTTTCTGGATATGAGATAACTTACTCATTCTTTTTATGTGTTATATTTATACTATTTGAAACATGTATATGCATATTTATTTTACTACATCATCAACCTCTTAAGTAAATCAATATAGACAATGTAACTTTAATTTTTTCCTCTGTACATTTTTATAAGATATTGAAATAAAAAGATCAAAGGACTAAATTCTCAATTCAATTCTAAAATTATTTTATGTATTAAGTATGCAAATGAATTTAAATACCAAAATAAATAGTAACACTAGATATTTTGTTATTTGGTCATTGTAAAAGTTTAATTAATAAATATAATATTACCTTCATATTAGTTTTCCATCTAGGGTACTGTGGCTGAACTTTTCCACTAACAGCATCTATTCCCATTGTTCCATGATAGTTCGGACGTGGTTCATCAAGGCTTGTCATATTAATTGTGCCCCAGTCAAAAGCCAGCTCACTACATCTTCTTTTCCATAACTAAGATGTCAGAAATACATATCAATTAATTACAAATAATAATAAGAAATAAATAAATCCAAATGTTCTTAATTTATCTATGCCTATTAGCTAAGTCTCGACTTATGGATTTTATATTTGCTCAACTATTTTGTTCTTATGAGTAATCACACCATGAAAAATTAAAATAAAGTAAGTGGTAAAAAATTTAACGATGATATCGTTCATTTTATCAACAAAACAATTGGTGTTATTAGTCTTTAAAAATATAAATATAGGTATATAAATGATAAACTTCTGGCATATTACAATAAACTTTTATAGGTTTTCTTCTAGTTTTATTATATGTTTCAAACCTTTAATTATTTCGAATATTATTTTTGAGTGACTATCACATATTTAATGTTAACTAAAAAATAATAAAATACCTCTAAAAATACAGTGACCCAAATAACATTAAAAACGCAAAAGAATGCCAGGGTTTCTTGAGATACAATCAGCTGTAGAAATCCTAAAGTCATTGGTATTATTAAGGCGGTGGTGTAAAAGCCCAGAAAATTGAAATAAAGAGCAACAGCTTCTCCAAAATACTCTCTGATTTCGGCTAAAAAAGGATAAAAGCCATAATTATAGTTAGTAACATTGATTTAATACGCGAAAAAAAATAAAAGTATGAATTATACTGATTGACTATAATAAATGAATAAAAATTGCGTCAGTTATGAGTATTAAATAAGCCTGAGAATGTATGCAACTCTATTGCTCTAATTAATAAATATTCCACATGTAAATCTATTAATTCAAATACTATTCACCATAAATATCTATAATTTAAAATAATTTACCAATTGGTTGCCTTTTCAATAATGCCCAATACCATTCTTTCCAAGTTTCTTTAAATTCTTTATCATGTAATGGATGAATACGTTCTATTAATTCTAAGTTTTCTAACAATTGAATTATGGACTGTCCATGATATAGTTGTACTTCGGCGTATCCTGGCAATGACCTGAAATGATACAAATAATAATAAGAAAAATAATATTTAAATTAATAAAACCAGAAATATTAAAACTGCACGAATTAAAAATCATTTAGACGATTATATAAATTGTGATATTTCGAATTAAATATAATTTTATATATGTGAAAATTATAATCCATATAAGTTTCCTAAATTTTCCTATTGTTATTGCATTGAGTTTAATTTGGCAGCATATCAAACTGATATCATAGACCATTTATTTTTTGATCATGATCCAAAGGAATGACAATGAATGCATGTTGATGCAATGTTAGTTTAGCTATTTCTAATTACAAGGTAGGTATTATTTTAAGATTTTGATTTAAATGTTTTTGCCGCTAGAATCTTGGACTAGAGATAAAGCATAAAGGATATATACTATTAGTGAATACAGCAAAACTTCATTTCACGTCGTTTGTCACTTGTTTTCAATGATAAATTTTCAAAGTTGCACTATTCGGATTCTAGCCTTGCTTTTTTCCAAATTATTCAAGTTTTGAGGCAACTGATATTATTAAATGGCTAACCTTGGACAACCAAGAATTCTGTAAAGAAGAAATGCTATTGCAACTGTACTTACTAATGAAAACTAAACATTTCCAAAGATCATTTAGCCTCTAAACACATTTTCAAAGCGGTGTGTTTGTTGCCTAGCTGGTTACAAGGAAATTTAATATATTTCCAGAAATTTCAAAGAAAAGCAAACATTCAACCAATTTTAAGACAACAGCAATCAATCACTCATTAGAATCAGAGACTGATTAATTTTAATTTTGTTTTTTTTCATTGCTTGATTGGTATTATTTTGTTTGATTTGAATATACTTTCTTTTGTTTTTATATGTATGTAACAATTTTTCTTTCAGATGTTTCTATTGTTTAACTTTCTTTTAAAAAAGTTTTTGTAGTTGAATTTAAGTGAAAAATATTATATTACTAGTACTAGTTAATTACTATTATAATATTATAAAAAATTAAAAATTATATGAATCGACTCAACTTTTCATCTGCCTGAGCTTTCATATTAATTAGTTCTCGCCAAACAATGCTTTGCATTTCTGATGTAGTAAGTAATTGTTCTGGACCAGCTTTGTCTGGAAGAAAGTCTTCTATATGTTCCAGATCAAATTCACGTATATTTCCAGCTAGATCGGGCTTAAGAAGCGCCATTTCTTCGGCACCTTCTAGAAGCCTGATTTTGGAGGCCGAAATGTGAAATATGATACCCTAAATAAATGATAATGATAATAAATAAATAAATAATAATATTAATTAATAATTATTAATAATAATAAATGATAATGATAATAAATAAGAGATAATGTCTTTACATAATGAAATTGCATAAAATATTATATCAAACATGTATCAACGTTCTATGTTTTTTTTTCTCACATTAATGCTTTTGTTAAATACGTAATGTCTATATACATATAGACAAAATAAAAATCATATTACAATGGGATATTTGCAAAAAAGCAAGAGAATTATATTTATTAAATAAGGCAGATTTAAAAAAAAATCAATTTCAAAAAAATATTCATAGTAATGTAAAAATTTTATATAATCTATTAAATTTAATTCAATGTTAGGTCAGAAGTCAAACCTGATCATGTTCATGAGGTTGCTTCCTAAGCAAAAGTTCAGCGCCCCCATGCCGGCGTTTTGCGACAATTTTGTCCACAATCCATAATAAAGTTTTGTTCCTAATTGTTTTTGCAAATTCTATGACGATATAAGTCTGCAAAAATTCAATAAATTAATTAAGATTATGTAAATGTGATAGACATACAATCAGAGTTAATAAAAGTCAATTAAAATCAATCTGCTAAGGAGGACTAAATTTAACATTAACAAATGAATAATGAAAAGCTTTGCTATTCAAGAATATAATAAAATAAATACAAAAAAGTTAATAGATTTTTATAACTTAAGTTATATACAAATAGAATTATAAAAGTTATATACAAATAGTTATAAACAAATAGAATTTTCTAAACTGAACAAAACGATAGGAAGTCAAAATCAATACAACAATAAAAGAATAGGAAAACAAATTATAACTAGGCTAATATATGGAGAATTTTATTACTCCAGACTGGAAAACTAAGACTAATCGATAGTAAATGAATATAGAGAATTTAAGATTTTTAGCCAATTTGGAGAAATAAATAAATTAAAAATACTTGTATATCTATTTTGTACGTTTCAACCCTGTATGTGTGTAGTCATTTCAAGCAAGTACTTATCAGAAAAAATACAAAAGAAATAACATTGTTGTGTAATAAAACCATTACAATGAGCAGGAACCTTTTAAATAAAAATAAACTGCAAGCTAAACGTAATTTTCTCAAACTAAAAATAGTTTAAACAATTGTAAGTATACATATATAATGTTGCAAAAAGTAGTAGAAAGTGAACAAGATAAAAAGATTAAAAATAAATTTAAAATATCAAGACAGTAATGGAAAATATATTGAGCTCTCACATTTTGTACAAAGTGTCAAATATTTGTAACAATAATAATAATTATTATCACTTACTTGATGATTAACATGTTCCTCACCATTATCACTGTTATCATGATTACTATCCATTTTATTGAAAGGCTTATTATCCTTTATTATTAAAATTTCCTTTTATTGGTGATCAATCACTTCATTTTCATTTTGCCAACTTGCATTTGCATTATTACAATCTAAATGTCCATAATATGTTTCATCAGCTAGAATGTTTTTGAGTATGTAACGGTCTTGTCAATAAATCGACGTGTTCTAACAGCTTGCCACCTATATGATAATATATGAATAACGCAAACATACCTAAATATTTGTGCAATTAAATGATATGGTATGGTACATGAATAGACGCAAATCTTTATCACAATATTATCAGAAGATATAAATCATTTTATATTTTCATAATATTGCTATTGCGAAGGTGAATAATTTGTGAGTGACTAATTTAATTATGTATTATTTTGTTTGCACATAATCAGATGCGTCAACGTTTGTTGCATACAAATATTAGAAGTATGTAAATGCACTGTTATTTAGAATATACAAGTATAGTATAGTTGTGAATGCATGGAGGATACTAAATACAGATATAATCCTATCAAAAATCAATTAAAAATCTATATCGTTTTATTCACGAATCGAACACTCACACATATATACATGATTTTATTAATATATTATATATGTAAGTATTTATATGAAAAAACGAAAAGACTGAAAATTTACTTCGAATCTAAATATGTCACCGGCTGGTCTCGACACTGACCAAAGCAAAGTCTATTATTAGGACTTCTAAAATATGGAGACACAACCATTCTCACTCTCAAATATGTTTGCATTTCATTTATTTTGAATTGTACAATATGTTTCAAAACACATTTCTTAAATAAACGTATCCACTACGGTTTAAAAGTGAAATTTTATGTAAAAAACTGATATATGTACTTTATTGTTAAGCAGTGTTTCATTCCCTGGTTAGGCTAGTGCCAAACTAATGGCTTTTATTCAAATAATTCAAATATTCTTAAGTCTAATAATCGTTATTGTTATACATTGGATACAGAGTTTGTTATAATATAGAACGAATACTATTTTCTCTTTAAATGGTTCGGTTTTTACAAAAATTCTAAATTTTTTCATGGCCATTCAAACCTGGTATATTTTGTAAAAACTTCACACTTCTAATTGCAATTATAATAATTACCTTAATATCCCAGATTTACTATATTCTGAAAAAACAGATTTTTAGAGCACTCTTTGCTTGATTCTTTCATGTGAAGAACACTTATTATTTATATAAAATTATAACTTACATTTTTATAAATTTGGTCAAATTTATTTTATGGTAGATATTTTATAGTTTTATATTATTTCTAATGTTTAACAAGAAATGAAACTGATTACTTCTGACATAAAATTGAAAACATGACGAAATGATAAACATATCTTAGAAAATGAGTTTATTATCAAAGTTTTGTAATTTGAATTATCTGATTCAAAAACCACTTTGCGGTGGGTCATCACTGATAAAGTTGTATTTATAAATTTAATTCTTATGGTTCACATATGTATAAATCGCATAAAATCGATACATATATGAATAGTATAAAATATTTCTAGATTAAGAATATATCAATTTGTTATTAACTATTACTCACTGTGTTTGTGATCTGCCATATTGGTTTTGATAACTTCTGGAATTTCTGAATTTCACTGAAATTGCATTCTTTTTTTACAACTCATTTCTCGTATTATAATCACCCAATGTTCTTTCAACATGTTTAGATATTCGATACAAGAAATTACTAAATTTGTATATGGCTAAATATTTTTGTAATGGGATTATATTAATAATACTTATACTAAAATGTTTAAATTTGAAAATGTTTAAAGTATTGTACTTCAACATGTCAGTTATTGTATGTTATGGCTAACAGCCATTGTCTACCAACCTACTAGTATCTAAAAAGCATTTTTCCAAATAGAGATTTTGTTGAATAATTTTGTCATAGATGAAGAATTTTGATTTTAATGACATTAATATATTAGGAGAATAATTTTCTTAGCATTCCATCGGCTGTTGTAACTTAAAATTTATTAAACATAAAATGGTTTTACCTGGTCTTACCGGTCTCAATTTAAATTTAACATTTGTAACATTGTAACATTTTAAATTTAAAAAAAAATCACAATCTCCCATTTCTTCAATCATTATTAAATTAAATATTTCACTATAATATCGATAACTATTTATTAAATGAATGAATTTCACATTTGTTTTGGAAAAGATCATTATTTGATGCAACTTCATAATCTTATCTAATTCGTCAATACTGGCAACACTAAAAACGCTGATAAATGTCATGACATAAATTTGACACCAGGTTGACAATCTGATTTGTGTGTATAACATTGTTTAGGATGTTAACAGTCTTCATTTTAAAACCTACATTTTAAATAATAAAGATTTGGTGAACTTTTTTAACTTATAATTAATTATATTTGTTACAAATATGTCTGAATTAAGTTTTAAATTTGTTCGTCAAAAAAAATATGATGAAAAACATATGATGGTTGTTGCGTTCGAAGTACGTATAATGGTTAACCTCTAATTGTTTTCTCTTTTTCAAGTATTATTAATAACAATACATTATTTTTTTAACAGCAATGCTCTATAAAATGTAATCTAGAATGTGAGTGGATTAGTGAAAAGGAATGTACAATTCTTAATCAAGCAAAATTAACAAAAACTGATATATTCGTATTTGACGAATTTGCTGGTTCAGCTTTTGAATATCTTAAAGGATCAAAGGCTCTGTAAGTAAAGATGGTTATTAATTGTTAAGTCACGATATACACAAAACAACCACCAAAAACTTTTAAATAATTTATTTGCAGAATCATTGGAACGCGTTGTCTTATGCAATGTCTCTCTCAGGACAAAGAACTCCCTCCTTGGACTAACCCTTTGTATACTCTAGCGATGACTGGACTCATCGTAACTACTTCGGGTTTTACAAAAGAACAGAAAGTATATAAAAACTATTTTTTGTTTATTGTGTTGTGTTATATATTTTTTATATAATATATTCTATTATATATTCTTATGACTTTCTTTTAGGATAAAATTGCTACTTATGTGCAGTGGATGGGTGGTGTCTTTGAAAATAATATGCAGACCAAAACAACACACCTTATATCAAATAATGTTACCAGTGTAAAATATTGTGTATGTTTACAAATTAAATACTTCTTCTAATTTGTATTTTTAAAACTTTAATTAAGAAGATACTATTTTGGTATCAATATTTTAAAGATGAAATTAAAAAAACAATCATTCACAATTGCCATAAACTTCATTTAATTACTTATATGTAACAGTATATCACGATCAACATTTTGTTGTTCAGACTTATTTCATTCAATTCATTTTAATTATTTTTCAACTATAAATTTTTTGAAAATTGTTTTACTGTAGATTATATTAATTTTAATTATGTGTCCAGAAAGCAGCTGGGCTGATTCATATTGTACGACATGATTGGATTGAAGCTATTTGGAAAGAAAGTTTAAAGGATGAAGTAATGGGTGCATGCCCAGAATTTATAGAACAAAGTGTGACAACATACAGACTTCCTCCATTTTATGGTTTGACTGTTAGTACTTATATCATATAATTAGTATATATTTATTCCTTGACATCAATAATTTAATTTATTTTTTTTATAGATCACATCGGCTAGTTTGTCAGGAGAAGATAAAAATAATGTGAAAAAATTAATAGAAGATAATGGTGGTACTTACAGTGGAAAGTTTCAAACGGATACAACAGGTTATATCAAAATCCTATCTTTTATTTCCATTTTATTTGAATAATATAGTCAGTATATTTATAAATGACTAAGAATTAACAATAGTATTTTTAAAATTAAGTGTTCAAATGTTATTAATAAGAAGACATTTGAACCAAATCTTTTGCAAAATTATTAAGACAAAAATTAAATTAGTTTTCTGTATGCATATGGTTATATCTTGATTAATCAAATATAAAACACTACAGAAAAACATAAAAGCTTTCAAAAATTTGAAGTAATAAATATCATTCATATATTAGAATACACTATTATATTATACTATTATATTATTTAAGCATATTTATTTTATACTATATATAATTTGAAATGTTTTATTTCAATAAACGTGTTAAAAAAATTATTTTAAGAACTAATTTTTTTCTCAACAGACGTACTGGTGATTAATAAAAATGGTATTGATAGCGCAAAATACAATGCAGCTCGAACATCTAAAAAGGAAATTGTAAATCCAGATTGGGTTAAAGATAGTGTGGCTTTTGGTTATGCGGTTGCAATGGATAAATACAGAATTGAAGTATCAAACGCGAGCACACCTACTAAAGAAAATGCTCGTAAATATAGCCCTTCTTTATAATACAGTTATTTGTTGAAAATTTAGATAATATATGTTAAAAATTATAAATTTACCAATGATCCTAAAATAGTAATACCATTTTACATTATCTCACATATTTGAAATATCATCTTTTTAAGATAAGAATTAAAATATTGAGATAATGAAAAAATTAAAAACAATTAACAAATTTATTGCAGCTGATTTGACTAGTAATTTTTCTATGATGAGTGCCATTGTAATGGATAAGCAGAAAATTAATTCAACAGTAAATGAAACAGTAAATATTACAATACAAGAAAAAATGCAAGATATAACTTTGGAAAAATCTTGTGCTATTAGCACACTTCGAAGTGAAATTAAACCCTTATTTAATATGAAAGATGTCAGAAATGCTGGATTATTTTTGGATGGTTGTGGCGTAAGTGAATATATATTATGCTCTACTTGAATAACTTTTTTTTTATTAAGATTTTTTTTAAATCGACTATTGAACATTTTGTGAACACAAATTAAATTAATTTAGAAACTGATTTGAGAGAAATTAATTTTCTGATGAACGTGTATTCAAAAGCTATTAATTAAAAATTTTAAAAAATTGTAACATTGTTATATAATGTGCAGATTTATGCAGCGGGCTTTTCTACAGAAGATAGAGAATTTTTGTATAAAATTTTTAACTCGGGGGGTGCAACGAGATATGATGAACCATGTGAAAAAGTATCTCACATTATTTTGAACAACAATGCTAATTTTGATATGAAGCAATTCAGTGATAAAAATCTTACGTAAGAATACAATTTAGTACAATATTTATAGATTAGTATATATATATATATATATATATATATATATATATATATATATATATATGTGTGTGTGTGTGTGTGTCTTTGTATGCTAAGTTTTAAATTGATTATTTATAATATGATTTATTACTTTGGTACATATAGTTTTTCATACCATATTTTTAGGCCATTCACTGTAAATATAAGTTGGCTGTCCGATAGTATAAAGCATAAGCAGGCAATGCCTGAAGACGATTATATAATCAAGTTCCCAGAAGAGAAAACAAATACGAAAGTGGTATGTTAAATATATTGTAATATATTTTAATCTAATTACTAAGTGCACTTTGAATTCTAGAAACGAAAACTGGACAATGTTCTAAAAACTATTTCAATGAATGATTCAGTTTGTCGACTAATTCCAACTCCAAGAGATGAGAAATTAAAAGAATTTGAACACCAATCAAGAGTTATGCAAATGTATATAAGTTCAACTAGTTTTGGTACAACTACAGGTAAAACTTAGTAGGATAATCATTTTTTTCAATTTTGATAGACAAGTAAAATGAAATAAAACTAATAAAATAATCTTAATAATTGATGTGGCTTTGTTTTTTGAAAGCAGATAAACTTTACTAATTTGTAAAGTGAACTAATATTTTTTTTATTCTCATTAATAGATTCCACTATCAGTGCTGATCAATCCACATTTTCATACTTATCAAATCACTCATTTTATCTAAGTGAAGAGCTTAATGATTCTGAGAGAAATGAACAGTTAACTCTTATTCCAAATGTAGGAGGCCGTATTACTAATAATGTGAATGAGGCAAAATATATAATTGTTCCTCTCAAGTTATTGAATAGTATTGAAGGGCCAGAAAAATGTGAAATTGTAAATTCTTTGTTTATTGTAAGTATTCAAACTTGTATAAAAAGCTAGTATTTTAACATTTGGGTCAAGATTATTTTTTAATTCTATTTGAATATATTTACTGTGTTGATATACTGTGAATCATGTTACAAAGACTTATGCTCTAATTCTATCATTATTTTACCTCATTGATTTTTATAAAAAAATTACAAGCTTTTGTAATGCTTAAGTGATTGCTTTAGATTTACATTTTTATTATCTTGATTTAAATTATATTTAATATTTTAGTAAATATGAATACTTATAATTATATTTTCTTTGCAATATTGCAGAATTCCTGTTTAGGACAAAAATGTGTGGTGCCGATACAGTATTATCATAGACCTATTATTATAACCCATAAGAAGCCTCTACAAAATTTGGTATTTTCTATAAGTTCATATGTTGCCCCAGAACGAACGTATATTGCAGAATTGATCCAAGAACTGGGTGGGCAGTAAGTGAAAAAAATATTCAAACCTTATATAAAATTTCACCTACTTGATGACTTTTGTATTTGAATTTCTTTTGCATAGGGGCCAGCTTAACAAATCTTCTGATATTTGTGAATAATCAACGTAAACAATAACATTTTATATATGGTTTTTAACTTTCTGAAGGAAGAATTTAGGTTTTCACCAGCAAACCCAACTTGCTAATTTGGTTTTCTTGCCATATTAAGTCATTTTAGTAGTAGTAATAGTTAAGTATCATTATGACCAAGTTTGGAAAAGCTATATCTACATAATCTGATTTTTCACTTTTTGTTGATGCCTTAAAAACGGCTCTGCTTATTTCAAAAATTTAGTCCTATTCATAAAACCTCTAGTGGATAGGACTTGCTTTGATTAATATTATGAGATAGTCAGACAAGCCCCTTTCTTTGTAATTAGCAGAAAAGTACATATTTTTAAGAAATTAGAAATTTACTAACTCAATTTTCAGGACAAATGACAAGTTTATTCGGTATGGCCTTTCTAGTGAAGGAATTGGAGCAGCTACACATTTGATCTGTAAAGAAGCAAAAGGGTCCAAATATCAGGCTTGTATAAACTGGAATTTACCTGCACTAACTGTGGACTGGCTTTTGGAATGCTATGAAACGGGTTGCAGGGCATTAGAGGAAAAATATTTAGTAGGAAAATCCAAAGGTAAATTAGGTTTATTTTATGTCATAACTGAAAGTAGATCTTTGTTAATATTTTGAGAAAAGTGAGCAAGTAGCTTTCATAATATGGAGTTAGTTTTCATATTTTGGACAAAAATATAATTTAAAAATAGGTTATATGGTTTTTAAAATGATTCTATTTTAAAATGTCTAAAATTGTGATTTATAATGTTGAGTGTAGATTTTTGCTTGACTTATTTATATACAATATTTATTAAGACAGAAGTTTTTTTATTCATTAAGTTTTTTTTTAGCTCCAAAACGAACAGATTTAGAAGAGATGAAGAAATATAATCAAGTAGAAGACATAAAAACACCAGGAAAAATTTCTAAAATAAATAAAGTTCCAATTTCATGTAATGAAGAATTAACAATAAATTTTGAATGTACCAGAAATCATAGATTGTCAAATACAAGTTTGAGTGAAGAAGATACTTTACAGCAGCAAGTATCAGAATTTGTTCCAGAACCGCTCGAAAACAATAAGTCAGTTGATGCAAATACTCCTAAAGTAAGCCTCAAGCGTAAAGGATCATGGATTGATGATAACAGTGATCGGAATCTTGAGCAAGGAAGCTCTAATGCTAAAGAAGGAATAGATGATGATGATTTTGAAGGTAAGCGTAATTCAAATATTTGATACAAATAGTTAAAGATTGCAGATCACATCAAAAAAAAAAAAAAAGACGGATCTCCTTATTGAACTTTCTCAATATATAATTTCTATAAGAATAAATTTATTATTGGCTTGTTACGAAATTAAATATTTTTTGTTTAGCATTAGCTATATTTATAAATTGTAATATTTTCAAGCACAAAGATCAATTTTCAACAAACACCTAGCTGGTTTGAAAGAAGGAGAGCAACCAATTCTGAGTCAAACGACTCCTCCACCAGTAAGCAAGTTTTTGCAACGATTGCGTGGTAGAAAATCAGAAACTCCCGAATTGCCACAGCTACCAGGTGAGCCAAGTATTTATTTGAGTTTTGTTTTCTATTTTACTTTATAAAAAAAATTATGTATTATTCTCTTTGTATAACCCTTCACTTATACAAACAAAAGTATTACATATAAAATACATAGAAAAGAAATATCATCAATACTATAGAGATATATATTTTAGAATATCTTAGAACACCAGAATCTCCATATGGCGCTTTTCTTCATGGGCCCAATCCTTCCCCGGAAACTAGAAAACGCTGGAAAAGATGGGTTGATGCTTTACCGGACCCTGAATCACCTATGCCACCTAAAACACCAAGTCCCGTAAGAAAAAACTTTTATGTATACATTAACTATCTTACCATACTTTTTCATGTAACTGTATAGTTCATAACATGTATTTCCATTTGTAGATCATTAATTTATTCTTTAACTTTGATTTTAAGTTTTTATATATATATATATATATATATATATATATAAATTAGTTTTTGTATTTGGAATATAGGACCAAATTATCAAATTCGGGGCTCTTCAATATATTACAGTGTTTTTGCATCAATATGTTTCATTATTTTAGACTCTGAGCGAATTAAAGCGTCAATTGATTGCCAAGATTTCTCGACCAAAACAATCTTCAGAAACGACAAAAAAATTAGATTTTGACCAATGTGTAATTCAGGACGATCAAACTGCAGGTTCATCAAAAGTGAGTTTAATAAATCAATTTGCTTGCTGATATCAAAGATGTTATTTATTACTTTTTTGTTATTAGTCTACTGCTGATGAATCACCAGCATCAAATAAACAATCGGCTGTAATTAACACTCAATTACAAAAATTAAATGAAATGCTGAAATCAGGGATCGGCAATAAAACGACACCGAGTAAATCCTTGACTCCCATATCAAGAAAGGCATCTTTTCACAATATTGATGCAATAAGTAAGTTCATGAATTTTAAATAATCAATCATTAGTTACTTAAGCTCTTCTAATTAATTTTTATTTTAGGTACAAACGTTTTAAAGGAATCCCAAGCTGAGTCAGTTGGTTGGCGAGATCCTAGCGAATTGTCACCTTCTCGAGAATTGAGTTCTACCAGTGATATTGAATTGCAAGAGATGCAACCATATAGGAAAAGACCACCTGTGTTCATTCTTTCTGGAGTAGAAGTGAGTGTAATATACAATTCAAATTATATTATGTTATAGTTGTTTAGATTAAGCTTTGTATGGAGAAAGATATGTTTTTAATAGAAAATTATATATTATTAATATAAACTCTTTAGGAATATTAAATATAAATGACATTTCACTTTCATAAGAAATATAATTATGTTGCAAATCTACACACTTTGTGATTGAACAAATTGCATTTAATAAAAAAAATTACATAAAAGTTAAGTATCTTGGATTGACTAATTTTTTTAGGAAAAGGAAGAAATTACTAAAGCAATATTAGATTTAGGAGGTAAAATATGTGGAGTTAACAGTATACAGTATGATGATTCATGTTCACATATTTTATGTGACCAACCTGCCCGCAGCGAAAAGCTCTTGGCTGGTATGTCATCTGGTAAATGGATTCTCTGCTCTGAGTACATAGCACATTGCTTACAAGAAAGAAGATTCATTGATGTAAATATCTTTTTTTTTTTCAAGTATATTCAGGTTTTCCTTCCTACATAAAAAATATACATTTTCTTTATTTTTAGGAAGAAATGTATGAGTGGGGTAATCCTAATGGAAACTACTGCCAAATACCGGATGCAACTGCATATTATAGATGGAGATGCAAATTGAATTACACACCAGCTGAAAATATTACTGAAGGAGCCTTTTCTGATTGGAAGGTTTTGTTATTAATCAATAAAAAAGATTCTTTTGCTAGAGTAATAAAAGCTGGGTTTGGTGAGATTGTTGAATGCAGGTAAGACTATTTTTTTATTATGTTGATGAATATAATTTGTAAATGAATAATGTATCTGTCTTCATTAATAAAGTAATTGATTGAAATTGAAAGAAAAATACATACTGAAATATTAATCTTTTCTGATTATTTATAAGAGATATTTATAAGATTTTTTGTGGGATTATCATTGAAAAAAATGTTGCAATAATAATTTCATAGTAAATCTCATATAAATAAAAAATATATATTTATAGTTAGGCAGAAGTTTATATTTGTAATATATTGGATATTCATAATCATACAAAGAAAGAGGGTCATTGTTTTTAAATTATTGTGGAAAGTTTTGTTTCATTATATTAAATTAAAAATCATTATATTAAATTATTGAATTCAGTTGCTGAATATAATATACAGCATTTAGAAAATATATTTCAAACCTAATATGAATTCTTATACATGATTTATTTTCTTTGTTTAGGAATATAGAATCATTGCGTGAATCATCAGTGACACACTGCTTTATCGATCCCCGAAAAAAACCCCTAAAGGATTTTGAAATAAGGCATTTATTAAGGATTGGAGCTCTAGTTTTGCCCTCTAACTATATAAATAAATATCTATTTGAGGACCCAATACCTGACCCGAAGAAGTTTTTAATCACTGTTTAATTTTAGAAAAATAATTAGTTAAAATTGATATTTTAAAAATATATTTTAATTTATATTTTAATTATGTTTTGATATATAAAATATAGAAATATTACACTTAAAACATTGTTTTAATGTAACTAGATTTAAAATTGAAAATAAGAAAGGAAGAACAGAATAAACAGGATAAGCTTTGCATTGATGACATATTTTGTCTTTTCTTTATGTTCAAATAATCAATTTGATTTACTTTGATTATGACAAATTTTATTAATTAATACACAAAATTGAATAATTTTACATATTATTAGTTGAATATTGGCACATCATTAAATTGGTTCATAAATGTGTGAATATAAGAGCTTATATTCTAGCTATTTTAGTGCCAAATTTAGTGCCGTAAAAAATCATCCAACCGATTTTGGAAATTCAAATTTAAATTGGCTGAGAATCGTGCTGATTATTGATTTTTAGCAAAGATCGGCTGGGTCATTTCTTCGCAAATTACTGTTGAAGGTTTTGACGATTTTGTTGAAACTTAGAATGATTATAAAGTTCTTGGTCTTAAGAAAAATCCTAAAATATTTAAGGCTTATGGAAGGCGGCTCAAAAAAATGTATTAGTATAAAGTTTGGAATAATTGGCTGTGTCTAAATTTTAAAATCCCATTAACACAGTTTTTGAAGATAAATCCGAATTCTGATTGTTTAAATTGATATTTTTCTCATGTCAAAAAGCTTTTGAAATGTTTAAATCATGATTTAAAGTAAAATGCTATTTTCGCTTAGTTATATAAAGTATTAAATAAAAATATAATGCTATCCGTTTAATAAATAAATATTATAATTGAATTTTCGATTATTTTGTAACGTATTAATTTTATAAATAGTTTTGTTTATGTATCAATTCGGAAATTGGATTTTGATTCGTAAGTAATTGACTATGGAATGAAGTAAGCGCCTTGTATGGAAACATATCCATTAAAATTTCATAGTCAAGAGTCGGATCGACCATTCATGACATTCCATTCACATCATAATACTATTTTCATTTTATTACAAGTATCTGTAAGAGAACGAAAGCTGGTAAAATAATTTAATCGAATAACGTAATTAATTAATTATATAAAATAAATGAAACTTATTAAGTCTAACGAATAAATTGCACAATCGTACCGCCAACAGTTTGAAATAGAAATTCCATAGATCGCTTGTCATTTGTTTATTATATGGTCTTTTTCGTCATTTTAATCTATTATTGTGTTTTTGGCGCATGCGTTTTTGCTTTTCGGTAAATCATCCGCCATTCATAAGATTTCTATTCGTTGATATTAATGGTTTGTATTTATACAAAATTTTAATCATTCAATACTCTTCGAATTGTGATAATAAACTGATACATGTCTATCAATAAATCTATTTGATATGAGTTTATGGTTACTGAGTCGGTAAGTGTCACATTTTTTTTTGTTGATTACTATTATTTTTAACTATTAGAAAAATATATACTTAGTGAATTTTGGATATATCGATAACCTCAGTAATTAGCAGATAATAATATCTTTGACATTTGTATAAATTTTATCTAGAGGTAAATGTTTCTGACGCATAGTAGTTTTTACTTGACCAAGCTGTCATCAACCTCCAAATTGCCACGAATTAAATAAAGTTATGTAATTTTCAAGAATGATAATAATAAATAACGATAATTACATGTCATTATTGAGAATTTTCCATGCAAAATATGTGGTAAATTATATATAAATTTACATCTTATATTTGCAATTTGTTCTACTCTGACAACTATTAGAAATGTAATCTTGTGCAAATTGCATTGACAAGGTATTAAAAATGAAATCAGCAATTTAAATTAAATTTCCTTGTGTTCAGTTAGATTAACCTCAAAATTTAGTGCTAACATGTATGTCACTCAATGTAGATTATCAAACAGATTCACTATACATGTTTCGAAGCTTTTTTGTAAATAGAATATTTGAAAGTAATGCCATTCGCTGGTCATTTTCTCACAGCATCATGGAAGATCGATATACTTTTTTGATATTGTTTTTGGTAGTTCATGAAAGCAGAGCTTTATCATGAATTATTTAATATACTCTTAATTAATTGATGTCACATATGTCATGCCAGCTCCTAAAGAATAACAGCAAATTTTTATTGATATTTTACTAAATATTTTTACACTGTAATCAAATTTAAAAGTGAAGATAAATAAAAGTCTTGTCTGGCCAATTACTATAATTATAACAAATATATATTTAAACATTTTAATAATGCATATAATAGTGAAAATATTGAAATTGATAATATAATTATGAATTTTAAACTCAATTACTATCCATCAATTGATACAAAAAATAATTCATTCTGTGTAAATCTATTTCGATAATTCCGATTGCTTACTCATTAAAATAAAAATAACTAACATCATTATTATTATTGCGGATTATTTGATATTTTTTCCAATGTTTCTGGTTTGAGATTAACACGAACACCTCAAATATTGCAAAGCATTTTTGTTGTTGCATGTCACAAAAAGCTGATTTTTTTTCCTTGGTATTATTTAACCACTTTACATGAATTTTAGTTTAATTTGTTCTGAATACTTGAATAAATTTATTTTTTGCGGAAGTTATTAGCTTGCTATAACATTGAATTTGTTTGCAACTTTTAAAAACTCCTTAACTCAACTGTGATACAGTGAAAACGTTTACTTTTACCAGTTTGGTATCTATATCCACTTAAATATTCTCTCTTTAATATATTATAACTGAATATAAAATCAAAGTCTGGACCCATAGTATTAATTTTATGTAATTTAAATATATTTATTTTACTCAATTTTTTGTCCCTGTCTGTTTTTATTATGATTATGATAATCGTTATTTATTTTTTATTCTTTATAGATGACCGATAATTAAAGATGAGTCTTAGGTAATTACTTAGTTAGTAGAGTTATTTGATAAAGAATCTCAAAATGGGAGCATTCTTAGACAAGCCAAATACTGAAAAGTACAATGAGCATGGCTCAGGGAATGGATTACGATATGGAGTTGCCTCAATGCAAGGATGGAGAATAGAAATGGAGGATGCCCATTATGCTAAAACTGGTAAATAAGAAATAAAGAACATTTATATTTATAGAAAGATTCATTAATAAAACAATAAGAATCCAATTAAGTTTAATTACTAGCAAATGTTGTGGCATTGTATATAATTGGAAATTATAAAATTGTCATTTTAATCTTTTTTTTTTCGTTTTTAGGCTTAGATGGAGGTCTTAGAGACTGGTCATATTTTGCAGTTTTTGATGGCCATGCTGGTGCAAAAGTGTCTGCCCATTGTTCCGAGAATCTACTGGAATGTATAATGCAAACTGAAGAATTTAGGCATGATGATGTCATAAAAGGTTATTCAATAAAAAATGTTAACTATAAATATATAATTATTGTGATTTGTACAAGTGATATTTATTTCATAACTTATATTTATCATTATATATTTTTGTACCAGGCATACATTCAGGATTTCTTAAACTGGACGACAAAATGCGTGAAATCCCTGAACTATCATCCGGGGTAGATAAATCTGGTTCCACAGCAGTTTGTGCATTTATTTCACCTAAACAAATTTATGTTGGCAATTGCGGAGACTCCAGAGCCGTTTTGAGTAGGGATGGAGTCCCTGTATTTTATACGATGGATCACAAACCAGTTTTGCCAGGTATACAGTTATTCAAATTGAAATTAATTAGAATATTTTATGAAATTAATTAATAAACTCTCTTAAATCTTTATAAAACATATTAATAATTTGTTTGCCTTTATTTCTGCAATTCATGTAAAATATAAATAAATAAACAAATGTATGTAAAATAAATTTGATTATATAAATAAGTTTTTCACAAAACATAATGCGACTGATTGAAATAGTTTGGGATTTTATATATCTTTTCCCCAATAGGAGAAAAAGATAGAATTCAAAAAGCTGGAGGGTCTGTAATGATTCAAAGAGTTAATGGAAGTTTAGCGGTGAGCAGAGCTCTTGGAGATTATGATTATAAAAATGTCGAAGGTAGAGGCCAGTGTGAACAATTAGTATCTCCTGAACCTGAAATCTTTGTGAGAGAACGAGATGATACATCTGATGAGTTTTTAGTACTGGCTTGTGATGGTGTTTGGGATGTCATGAGTAACGAAGCTTTATGTAGTTATATTCACTCCAGATTAAAAATTACCGATGATCTTGAATCAATTACAAATCAGGTCATTGATACCTGTTTATATAAGGTGAGTTTTTTTAATTTCAGTAATTATTGTTTATTAATTTTAATTGCTTAAAATTATCAAATAAACGTAATAATTATATTTACCTTCTTTTGAAATGTTATATTATAGTCACATGGGTAAATTATTAATGAATACACTACAATTTAAAGTTACAAAAATATTACTTATTTTACTTAAAGAGCCACATTTGTTTTATATAAACGATTAAAACATTTAGGCAAATTATATTTTCAATAATAAATTATTTTAATAGAACTATATTTTATAACCAGGGAAGCCGGGATAATATGAGCATTGTTCTTGTTGTTTTTCCTGGTGCACCAACTCCCTGTCCTGAAGCTATTCAAGCAGAGGCTGAGCTCGATGAACAAATTCGAAGAAGAATAACAGAAGTTGTAGAGCATTTAGATAACAAAGAATTTCAAAATGTTTTACCAATGTTATCAGAAGAAGAATTTCAAGGTCTACCACCTGGTGGAGGTTTGGATGCAAAGTATGTCATTATCATAATTTTAAATTAATTTGTTTAATAATGTCCACAATTTACTAGTCAATAATTCAGTTGACTTTCTTATATTATACGTATCAGTTATAACACAAAATTGACAGAAGATATTAGATATGTGTTTTTTTTGTAGAATAAATTATGCTTTATAATTAATAACTTTGATTTTATGATTGGAATGAATCTTAATGCAAATGTATTTCTAGGAGGCCTTTTATTGAAGAGGTTTTTAAGGAACTTTGTCCAGAACAGGCAGAGAGTGTAAGTCTCACTACCTATGACATGCCGTATTAAATTTCTTAAAATAAACCAAAATTTTGCACGAGAACGAAAAATATGAACTCATTAACAAAGAGTATTTACAGTTTTTTATTATATTGTGACCATGAAAGTCATTTTTGCCAAGGCATAATACCGCATGTGATCATTACTGAATTAATTGTTTTGTATTTATTAAGACTTGATACCACTAACTTGTGCAAAATAACCTATTCATTCAGATTCAAAATTAAATTTGCACCATTAAATTGAATTTGAAGATGCCTTTTGTTGTATATTTACTACAAATTGATGATAATTTTACTCAATTTTATGAATTGTTCTAAATATGTTAACTTTTTTTTAACAAAATGCTTGTGTATGTAAATTGTATTTATGAAATAACTCATACTTTTTAAATTTTTGGATAGTTTTCTAATATTCAATATTGGTTTAATTTTTTATGTATAAAACTAGTATATTGTACAATTGTGTAAAATATGTTTAATTTCAATAGATCTTATTTAATCTTTTTATAAATAATTTATTACTCATTTAATTCACATTACATTAACATATTAATTCATAATTTAACACATTTTAAGACTCTTAACAATGAATTGTGCAATTCATCTATTTTTCATTAGTTTTATAAAACCTTATTATAGAATTCGAATTATCAATGATTTTAGTTTAAATTTAGATAAATTGAATGAGTAATTCATAAACACAAATGATTATGGTTCTGTGGTATTTTATTAACACTGTTTTCATTTCCTGTAAATACAAAATCTTAATATGCATGTTACAAATATTTTTGTTTAATATTGTCATTATGTGTCACAGTTTAGTTTTCTATTTTTTGTGTCAAAAAGTGTTGATATGCTGTTGGAATATCAAAATACTATAATTGTAAAATATTTCATATTTACTAGTTTATAATTGTTTTGATTCGATGTTTTAAATACTTAATTACTTTATATGCAAATCATCATTCATTTTAAATTGCATATTATTTATTAAATGGTTATTTGTTTTTATCGTATTGTTTCTTGCTTAAATTTTCTATCTAATTGTAAAGATCTTGTCTTGACTAGGTTTTTAATTGTTAGAGTGTTTGGAATTTTTACATTTCATCCACAAACATAACGAAAATTGTTCTTTGAAAAGCATCATGAATTTTAAAAGTGGGTACTACATTTATTGATATGACCATGACCTGTATTGTTACATCTAAACCACAAATGTTTTTAATTCATATTGGAAACGTTTATTTTATTTCATCTTGCATTGATACTTCCTTTCATTTTTACTCTGTTAATTGTAAACTTTAACTCCAATATTTTAAAAGTTATAGTTTCGGGATTAATGTAAATCTTAGTCCTATGAAAAACCTATAACATACTTTATTATTAATTTTGTTTTTTGTTCTTAATACCATTTTGTCCTTGAGGACTTAATATTATTGAGGAGTCCCAATTTATTGTTGCTTATGCAAGTAAACGACAACCATGCTAATTATTGATACAAGAAAAAAAAATTACACATGATCTATGCAAGGGAGGAGTAAAAATGCGGTATTGCAAAAATAATTATTTACTGATTCTGTTACTATTTATTATGAAATCCTACAGAAAAATTTTGCTCCTACCATTTAAAATTTTATCAAATAAGATCAATGCCAAACAACTACAACTTTTCTGTTACTTACCAAAATTAAGATATATATATATATATATATATATACTTTTTTTTGTAATATTTTTTTTTTAATTTTAAACTGAAATAATACTTGAGCTTATGTTTTATTTAAAAAATTGCATTTTCATAATAAATTGGGTTTTTGTGAAATAGCATTTCTTTTGCAAAGTCAAGATTTTAATTGATTATTTACAGGAAACAGAGCACAGTGGATTTTTAAGATCACCTCAACTTTTAAGAAAAACAGAAAATAATTAAAACCAAATGTTGTGTTCAATTTTTACTAGCAACATTTATAAAGAATCTGAATTTTTAACAGTATTTTAAAAAATAGTTTGGGATAAATGTGAAGATATCAAAATATGAGTAAAGTTCTCATCGTATTTATTTATTAAAAATAAGAATGGTTTTCATGAACAGAAACCATCTTTATTTTTTGAGATAAAAAAATTTTAGTTTGGTTTTATTTCATAAAAGTATTGTATTTTTTAAAAAGTGTAATCAAACTATTTTAGTCATCAATTTATTTAATGAATGATCTCAAAATGATGCATAAGATCTTTGAAAGATCAAAAGATTTATATGTATTGCAAAAATTCAGTACAAACAACCACAATCATCAAATATGTCAAATTTATATTTTATATTATAATGATATGAACTAACATGCTCGCGTTCATTAATTTTTATTAGGATTTTTTTTTTAAATATTTTGAATAATATTTATATTTTACAATTTTAAATTGTTTAACATTTTATTCTATATTAAAAACTGTTAATGTAGAAAACATGTTTTTATAGAAATTCTTAGTTATTCTTCTGTCGAGTTACCTATTTGTTTGTATATACGGCTACAATTTTTGCTTTAAGATAAATATTGTAAATAATTTTTGAATAACATTTGTAATGTCCATTTGATAACGCATTTTTGTTAGTGTTTGTACAGTACTATATTTAAATATAGTCAGATAAGGCCTAGAAAGTGTTAATTTGTGAAAAAATCTGTAATCTAAGCAACAGTACATGTGTGATGGAATGCTAACATGCTTACTTTTATAATGTGTTAGGATTTGTACTTTGGAGTTGAGTAAGATTAAGCTATAATATAATAGTAATTATATTTATACAAGAAAATTACGCTTATAACATGTTATAACATAAATTAAGATGTCAACTCCAAAAGTATTTATTAGGGTGCTAGTTTTGGAATATTCTTTTGAAATTCATTTTTGCATCAACATTCTAACATTTGTCTAAAGTATAAGACGAGGCGAATATAAAAAGAAAGCAAACAGAGAAGGAAGATACATGACAATTGTCCTGTAGATTTTCTATATTTTTTCAGTTGATCATTTTATAAGTGCTAGGTAACAAAATTGTAAAAAATGTATTTTTGTTTATTCACATAACACGTATGTGTTATAAAAACAATCTGTCCATATATTTACAAACAAACACATACAGATGCATATATATATATATATATATATATATATATATAAATATATAAATGATGTGTATGCGCAAACTATATTGTATAAGAGTATGGACATATAACGTGTTTAGATAATTACAGTAACTAGATGTCGAAATCTTCATAAGTTTAAATAATTTTAATTAATATGTGTATATACATAATAGTATAATAAATTTACATGTATAATTAGTTCAACTTCTTTGTAATTTAGTAAACAAATTTATGAATTCATCAGGTAAAAAATTCATCAAATAAGTTTGTAAAATATAGGGACTATAAAACCAAAACATAAATTATTTCTATCACGATTTTTATTTATACAGTATTTACATGGGTCAATTATGTCAAAGTCAAGTTTTCCAATTCATTTATTAAATCTGTGTGTTTGAAAGACTGTGGAGATTTAGTAAAGACTTCAAGAAGCTTTTGCTTGCTTTCATGGTTTTGCCCATAATACATCTGTAATTGGTTAGCAAGACATTGTGCTTCTTTGGCATCCAGAACATTTTTATCAAATTCACCTCTCATCAATATAAGCCCTTTGTCTTTTAATTCTGTGTAATGCCAAATTGTTAAGCATTCAGGAGCGTTTTCTTTATGTACCTAGTAATTGTTATTACAAAGAAAATATAAATGTATTTTCTCTTCCTAATAATAATTAATAAATACCTGATAACATATCAACGGTGTAAAATGAACTTCATTGTAATCAAACTGGAGCATGAAAAATTCATAACCTTGGGATCTTGGCAATGGTAATAAAAATATTTTATGTTCTTTACTGCGTTCTTCAATTTTATCATAAAGGTCTATTGGAATTGTACCACTAATTACATCTTTGTCTTTGTGATATTGTTGCCATAATTCTTTGATTTCTTCAGCACTTTTATCAACAACTAATTCCAATTTCATATAATCATTAAGAGACTTTTTAGGTAACGTTATATTTGCAGATGATTTTTTAGGTTCCAGAACTGATGAAAATTGTCTAAAATGAGGTTATATAACACCAAAAATATTTTTACAGATTTTTAAGCAAGTAATTATTACCTTTCTTTCACTGAACCAAATTTTGAACTTTTTGCTTTTTCTTCTTCATGTTTTTCTACTCTAGACAGAAATTCTTCAGGGGATGTTTCTTGCAGAGTAGCTATTTTAGATGCATATTTCTCATAATAAGGATTTCCTTTTAATTCTTCTACAACTTTTTGACAACGGGAAGAAGCTGTCATAATAGATCTTTTGAATAATATTTGCGTGCAAACAGTTAATGGTTTATTCCAGATAGACATTTCCGATTTATATTGAAAGGAAACTGATTTCTATAAAGTTTGACAATTAAAAGTGGGTTGCCATATGAGAAAAGTATGTAAAAACTTTAGTCCGAGACCAGAACCGTTTCTTCCCTTATGGCAACACATCACGAAATTGTACCGCAAATATTTACGTTTTCTAGGTTATTTAGTTTTAATCGTTATTTGTGCATTTTAATGTTTATTTATTTATAAGTTGTTTTATGATATAAGTAAGTGATTATTATCATGAATAAGCGAAATTCTTCACAGCCTTGGAATAAACAAGTTAAAAAGTTTAAGTACGTTATATAGATTATTTTTTGAGTCATAATAAACAATAAAATGTAGTCGTTAATTTTATTTAATATTTATAGAAATGATGATGATGAAGATGAAGAATTTTCTTCTAATTTTGAAGCCGAACTTGCGGCTATGGATATTGATGAGGTCCCTACACAGATTGCTTTCGGAGAAGTAAGATAATTGTTTAAACAATGAATGTGAAATATCAGCTATTTTTGATTTGTTTTATATTTTGCCTACTATTACATATTCATTATCGTGTAAACTGCAATTTAAATGTTAACTATAAATCATTTTGGTTCAATCTAACTATAACACATTGTTATCTAGTAAACATTATCTAAATATAATGTTAATTTTCACATATTAAGTAATATATCATTTCTTATTTTATCAAAAAGTATAAGGAAAGTTTCATTGCACTATTGATTTTAGTAAATAAATATTAGTTTATGGAAAACATAACAAAAGAATCAGCAGAATTATGGTAAAAAAATTAAATATCTATAAACATATTAATAACCGTTTGCTTGAAGAGCAAACAATAGTAATATTTGAAGATGTTAATTTTTAGTTACATTAAAATCAATTAAAAATTTATAATAATGGCTTATAATAAATGTATATATTGAAATTGATTATATTCTTTAAGGGACCAGAAAACCAGCTGACTTGTCAGAAATGGTGCCGTCCAGATGCACCAAATTTTAAACCAAAAGAAGATACAATCTATTTTCAACAAATTGATATTGATCATGAAATTGGGGCACCTTTACCTGGAATGCCTGGATCTCAGGTTAACAAAGATTTTATATAAATTTATTCCAAACACATGTATATATACATATAATTCTTTAACATGCTTAAATAATTTTTTGAAAATGGTAGAAATAATTTTTAGCATAAGTTATTGAAATAAAATGTAACAGATATTTGCAATTGGATTTAATTGTTAAAGTGTTATTTGTCAAATTTAAATTGTTTGCTAGGGATTCATAGATATCTCTAAAAAATTTGATTGTAGTCTTTTTTACTCATGTTGTTTACATTAGCATTACGTTTATTGCAGATTGGTCCTGTACCCATAATGCGTATGTTTGGTATAACTATGGAAGGAAATTCTATATGCTGTCACGTTCATGGATTCAGTCCTTATTTATTTGTAACAGCACCAAAAACTTTTGATGATTCTCATTGTGAGCCTTTCAAGGTAAATTTCAAACTATATGTTTTCACATTAATGTCAAATATATTAAAAATGCATATATTTGGAAATAAAACAGAATAACATGGTGATGTATTTTTAGACTGCTCTAAACAAAGCTGTGATAGCTGACATGCGCTCCAATCGTGAAAATGTCACTGAAGCAATTTTATCGGTAGAATTGGCAAAAAGAAAATCTTTGATGCATTATAGTGGAGATTCTGATAACTTATTCATAAAAATAACAGTTGCTTTGCCAAGGTTAGTAGCTGCTGTTAAAAGATTATTGGAGAAAGGCGATATTTATCCAGATGGGGGGCTACATGATTATAGAGCATTTGAAACCAATATTGATTTTGATATCAGGTATATTTAAAAAATGTTTTTATTATGTTTTAAAAATTATGTAAATATATTTTGAATAATTTAATAAACTATAATTAGGTTTATGGTTGATACTGGAGTAGTAGGATGTTCATGGATTGAATTACCGGCCGGCAAGTGGAGGTTACGAAATGGTTTTTCTAATCCAAAGCCTATATCTCGGTGTCAAATTGAGGTTGATATAGGCTGGGATGCTTTTGTTGCCAAAGTTCCTGAAGGCGATTGGGCTAAAGTGGCACCATTTCGAATATTGAGCTTTGATATTGAATGTGCTGGAAGAAAAGGTACAATAAAAAAACATTATGAAGTAAAATTAGATACAAATTATTTGTTTGTTGACATAATCAGTTATTAATTTTTTGTAAAAAATTCAAAATTCTATATATGATCTTGGATTTGAAAACAATTATTCTTTTTTTTTTTGAAAATTTAAGTTACATGACTATGCTTTTGAAGTAATATGTTATTTCTAAATTGTAGGAATATTTCCTGAGCCTCAACATGATCCTGTGATACAAATAGCTAATATGGTAATTACACAAGGAGAACAAGAACCATATTTACGGAATGTGTTTACCTTGAAGTCATGTGCTCCAATTGTTGGTTCTCAAGTATTATGTTATGATAAGGAAGAGGTATTGTTTTGGAAAATCAATTTTTATCTACTTGGAATTGTATAATATTTTGTTTTTTACATTTCAGGAGTTGTTAGAAGCTTGGGCAGCATTCATCAGAGAACTTGATCCAGATGTGTTTACAGGATATAATATAAACAACTTTGATTTTCCCTATTTACTTCGAAGAGCCGCACATCTGAAAGTGAAAAATTTTGATTTTTTGGGACGAGTTCGAGACAAAAAGTAATATTTATAAATCATAATTGTTGTATTTATTGTTTGTGTTATATATTCACTAGCACAATTTGTACTGTTTTTTTTTTCAGGTCAGTTTTAAAAGAAACTGTACTGCAGTCAAAGCAAATGGGTCGTAGAGAGAATTACGCAATAAATTTTGAAGGCAGGGTTCCCTTTGATTTGTTACTAGTTTTATTGAGAGATTATAAATTGCGGTCTTATACCTTGAATGCAGTAAGTTTTCATTTCTTACAAGAACAAAAAGAAGATGTCCATCATAGTATTATATCTGATCTGCAAGCTGGGAATGAACAGACTAGAAGAAGGTATATATATAGTTAGATTTTCTAAAATGATATATAATATTTTATTGAAAAATACTATAATTATATTATATATAATAGTTCCTAAAATTTGACTAAATATTGTTTATTTTCAGATTGGCTATGTATTGTTTGAAAGATGCTTATCTTCCATTGCGGTTATTGAATAAATTAATGTGTATTGTCAATTACATGGAAATGGCTAGGGTAACTGGTGTCCCTCTAGGTTGTCTCTTAACGAGGGGCCAACAAATCAAAGTAGTCAGTCAACTCCTTCGAAAGGTAGAATAATGCATGAATATTTTTTTTTTTAAGAAATAGCTATTAAAAGCCCTCTGATAATTTAATTATAAAGAACATCATGTTAATCATAAATTATGTTTCAAAGATCAGATTTATTAAAATTTCTTTTCCTGCATTGGTAATTATAGTTTTATCTGAGCTATTTTATTTCAATTTTATGATAGTCTAAAGAAGCTGGCTATTTAATGCCAACATATAGTGGACAAGGTTCTGAAGAACAATATGAAGGTGCTACTGTAATTGAACCCAGAAGAGGATATTATGCAGATCCTGTGAGTACTTTGGATTTTGCATCACTATATCCTAGTATTATGATGGCTCATAATTTGTGCTACACTACATTAATTCAACCAGGACAGAAGGAAAAATTGGGGTACGACAATATAATCCTAAATAGTTATTTATAACTGATAATTATATTTGTATTATATTTTGCAGATTAACTGATGATCAGGTAACTAGAACTCCCTCAAATAACTTGTTTGTGAAGTCATCAGTTCGTAAAGGATTGCTGCCGGAAATTTTAGAATCTTTGCTTTCAGCAAGAAAAAAAGCAAAGGCGGATCTTCGAGATGAGAAAGATCCTTTTAAGCGGTCTGTTTTAGATGGTCGTCAACTTGCATTAAAAATTAGTGCAAACAGTGTTTATGGTTTTACTGGAGCACAAGTTGGCCGATTACCATGTCTAGAGATATCTGGGGTAAAAATATGTGTCTTAGATATAAATATTGATGTTTTATACAACTAAAGCTAAATAACTAAATTAGTAATGACTTGCTTTATTTTATTAAATATTTTAATTTTTATAGGTTTACAAATTTTATTTAATTCAAAAGTGATTATGAATTTATTTTCTAGAGTGTAACTGCTTACGGTAGAACTATGATAGAACAAACCAAACAAGAAGTAGAGCGTAAATATACTATTGCTAATGGTTATGAAAGTGATGCTGTGGTAATTTATGGAGATACAGACTCTGTCATGGTCAATTTTGGTGTTAAGAGTTTGGAACGAAGTATGGAATTAGGTATGAATAAAACAGTAATAACTAAAAAACATTAAGACCACTTCCACTAACCGTATTTGTGTTTTTACTTTATTAATGATAAATATAAATTTTCCCAAATAATTTTTAATACAGGTTTGCAATTATTAAATGATATACAAACATATTGGAAAAAAATTACTGGGATATATTTAATATTAAATAAGTTGTGATAAGAAACCTTTTTGTTAGCAATGAATATTTATTAAGTTTATCATATAATTTAATTTTAAAGGTCGAGAAGCTGCAGAGTTTGTAAGTCAGAAATTTATTAGGCCAATAAAGCTTGAGTTTGAAAAAGTTTATTTTCCATATTTATTAATAAATAAAAAAAGATATGCTGGTTTGTATTATACAAGAACTGATAAATATGATAAAATAGATTGTAAGGGTATTGAAACTGTACGAAGAGATAATAGTCCCTTGGTTGCTAACATGATGAACATGTGTCTTCAAAAAATTCTAGTGCACAGGTAATAATTGATAAATCTTTATGATTATCATACACATTACTCATTATTAAAACTAAAAAGTTATTAATTGATATCTCAAAATTAATAATCAGGGATCCAGAAGGTGCTGTAGAATATGCTAAACAAGTAATTTCAGATTTACTATGTAATAAAATTGATATTTCACAATTAGTTATCACAAAAGAACTTTCAAAAAGTGATTACGCTGCCAAACAAGCCCATGTAGAATTAGCTAATAAAATGAAGAAACGAGATGCGGGCACTGCACCCAAACTAGGTAAACGCATTGATAAATAATATTCAATTATTTTTCTGATAGTAATATAAATATTAGATATAAAATTGAGCATGAAAACATTGTAGTTACAGGCTTATTATGCATTCAAATAATGCAGTTATCAAGAATTTAATTTAATCAACATTAGTTTTCATTTATAATTTGTTTTTCTAATTTACTAAGTTTCTAATTTTATTATTATAGGTGATCGTGTACCATATGTTTTATGTGCAGCAGCTAAGAATACTCCTGCATATATGAAAGCAGAAGATCCAATATATGTATTAGAAAACAGTATTCCAATAGATAGTGCTTATTATTTGGAAAATCAATTATCGAAACCTTTATTGAGGATTTTTGAACCTATATTAGGTGATAAAGCTGAATCTCTCCTCTTGCGTAAGTAGTTACTTATTTAAAACTCTATAGCATTATAAATTGTTCCACATCAATCATAAATAATTCCTATTAAAAACTTATGGCTCTATTTTGAGGAAAACTGCTAAAACTTTGAAAATCATTTTATATTTACAATTCTGATACAAAGGAAAGATTATCTATCTATTGAATTTAATGATATCTATAGTAACTCTTTTGATAGTAATTTCATTATATTAAATATCCACCATTTTTATATTTGTAATTATTTTATATACGTAATTCTGTAAATTAATATAATAAAATGGTATAATAACAGGTGGTGATCACACAAGAACTAAATCTATGGCCACATCTCGTGTTGGAGCTCTATCTGCATTTACAAAGAAAAAGGAAGCATGTATAGGATGCAAAGCGTTACTTCCAGCAGGTTATGAAAAAGGAGCTTTATGTCCTCATTGTATTCCTAGACAATCTATACTATATATCAATGAAATGGAATCGCAAAGAAATCTTGAAGAAAAATATTGCCGATTATGGACCGAATGTCAAAGGTGTCAAGGTTCTTTACACGAGGAAGTGATATGCACCAAGTGAGTACTTATTTATTTTAATATTAATATTACATAAGATTAGTTTTTAAGAATTTTTAATTAAGGATTTAAGTACAAATTTTTAAACTGCATCAGTGTAATAATGCAAGAAATTCATAATTATTAAAAAGATATACAAGGCTCAACATAGCACAATAATTTATGGACAATATGATTAACTAAGTTACACGGACAAGAAGCTAAATAAAAGTCTTAAATCTCATCTGTGATTATTGATATGCCACTAAAATATGTTTCGTGAGAGGAAAACAAAAAAATATTGCTCATATTTTTGAGCATAGTATGCTAGTGTATTGAATACACATTGAATATGAAATGCAGGCATGCATGCATGCGAGTTCTCAAAGTATTTTTTTTTTTTTGACTAATTTAATATTATTAGCATACAACAGTTCAAATTTGAGAGTAAGTGGATTAAGTAGCTTTTGCATAAGTTTCAAGTACACAGAAATTAGATAAGCAAAGATTGTACTTGCATTTTGCATAAGAAAGAATGTTTTCACATACTTACAAATTAAGCTATTAAAAGTAATTGATTTCAATTTTCTTTTAAAATTTATGTAATCCTTACTGGTTTTATTTAACGTCATATGCGTTCGCCTGTGGCAATACGGAAACTAACCTTAAAATGTCAAAATCACTGTAAAATCAAAATTTATTAAAATGTTTCTCAATACCATAATTTTTAATATTTTAAAAACCAGGCCTATACAAAACAAGCAATTTCAAAGCTTATTCCATACGTGTTCAATAAATTATGCAGGTCATTCAAAATGGCAAAATATCCGGCACATAAAAGCTTTGATGGACAGTAAAAAAAGTGACTTATTTACAAAATTATCAAGACAAATTCGTTTAGCAATCGTTGAGGGGTGGTAGCACAGATGCTAAGATTAATAATCAACTAAATAACATCATAGAACATGCAATGAATCAGAATATGCCTAAAGCTACAATTACCAAAATTTTAACCAATTATGAAAAAAAGGATGCAAAAACAGTGATGAAACAAGGAATAATAGAACTCAAATTATTAAATAGAAATGCATTTATTTTGCTGTCTCTAGTAACAGATAATTTAGCTAAGACGAAAGCTGAAGTCAACGGAGTAGTTAAGAAGTCTAGACTTGTTGAATTTGCTATGTGTAAACACATGTTTGAAGAAAGAGGAATCATAACAACAAAGTTGCTAGATGGGCAGACCCTTGACCATGCTACAGAGCATGCTATTGAAGCAGGGGCAGAAGACGTAGATCTTGTAGATGAAAATGACAATTACATTCAATTCGAAACAAATCCACTTTACATAGATCGAGTTAAAAAAAATCTGGATGCTAAAGGCTATAAAATTGAACACTATGAGAAAGTTTTCACTCCTCATGTTTCTGTTCAGTTATCTACAGATGACCGTGAGCAATATGAACTCCTTAAAAAGAAATTGTTAAATATAGATGGCATTGATGATATTCACGATAATATTGAATATGCAGAAGATTTTTAGCAAATTAAATGAAAATAATTATCAATGTACATGATCTAGATAGTTAAATTTTTTAAAATAAGCAAGTTATTGTTTTGTTACAGCCGGGACTGCCCAATTTTCTACATGAGGAAAAAGATTCAAATCGAATTAGATACTCAAGTCAAACGTGTTGAACGGTTCGGTTTACCGAGCTGGTAAGATTCATTCAAAGACAAATAAATATTTCTTGTAATAAAAATTACATGTTTTATTTATTACATTTCATATATACATATATTTTCATAATTGAAATTAATATTAAATAGATATCATATACAAATTGAGGTCTTTTTGTATACAAATACATTATAAATTAAATATAACTACAATAGTATAAAATCGCCAAAATCACAATTATTTTATTGTATGATTCTGAAATGAAAACCTTACAAGATTTGCTTGTGTGCTAATTTAAAGTAATTAAAAATATTTTGTACAGAAGCATCAAAATCTTATGGCAAACCAGTCGGCCATAAAAAGTTGATTGTTGAAATCTTGAATTGATATTTGAAATTTTTGCATTTTAATATAAACATATAAATGTTCAACATATGGAAATTGCATACATGACAGTTTAAATATAAATATGTATAAATAAATATGTATGTGCTCGTTTAGGTGAAAAACACATTCAATCCTGGTTTAGAACATACATAATTGACTATTGATTTGATATTATTTCCTAGCTTGTAATGCATTAGATAGCCAATCCATTGCCTGATCTAAACCTTCACCTTTTGTTGCTGACGTTTTGAATATTTGGAATGTACGGTTTTTTAAAGCTTCTAAGCCCAATGCTTGATGAACCTCGGCAACTGATAAGCACCCAGCCATGTCTTGTTTATTGGCAAGAACAACGAGAATAGCACCAGCTAATTCTTCTTCCTATAACATATTTAAAATCATAATATCTTACTAATATCTGTCTCTTCATTTTGTTAGAATTAAAATCTGATGTGTTGATTTCAATTGGCAAAAATAACACTTCACTATTTGAACTGAATAACAAATATTCTTTAAAGCTTCACTTACACCTAACATGTAGAGTAATTCATCTTTAGATATTCCAATTCTATCTCTGTCGGCTGAATCCACAACATAAATAATGGCATCTGTATTACTATAATAGCATCGCCAATAAGGTCTAGAAATGGTAAAACATATATAAGTCAAATCAAATTCTTACAATAGTTGTTGTTTATTGTATGAAGCTAAAGCATTGTTTGCAGTGATTTATCTAGATGCTGATGTTTAGAATTAACTAAAACTTAAGATTTATAAACTTGTAAGATCCTGTAGAATTCTTTTACAAATGAAAGAAATGGTTTTATCAATAGTATTTAAACCACCGGTTTCTGATATGTAAATGCTACTTGTCTGTTATATAAGCAAAATAGTTGTTTATACTTGAGAGGATGAAATGATAAAGCTGTTTAGAAACTTCTTTGTTATTTGTACAATTACTTGGAACTTTGAAAATAATCACTTAAAACATCAATATTGTGCAAAAATATATGAAAATAATATTAACCGTATGCTAGTCTGTCCTCCTAAGTCCCATACTTGAAATTTGAGATTTTTATAAGTAACTTGTTCTACATTAAAGCCAATTGTTGGTATAGTTGTAACAACTTCACCAACTTGTAATCTGTATAATATTGTAGTTTTGCCGGCGCCATCCAAACCTAAAATTAAAATTCTCATCTCCCGAGCACCTAGCAAGTTTCTAAAATAACTGAAAAGTCCCCCTAAAACATAGGATTTATTATAACCTAATTTATGTTGATTATATGTCATTAATTAATGCTGTAATGTCATTCTGTTACTGCAAATCAACATATTTGCCTTACCCATATTTTTGTATTAACATACAGGATACGAAGTAAATAATCGCTTAAAAAGCGAATTTTTAGGGACTAAGTTTTATATTTTATAACTAAATTTTATAAATATTCGTTTAGAATGTGACAGTTTGCGCGAAAGGCATATTGATGTTTGGCTTGGTTCTTGTTGAAGGGTTCATTCACAGTCATAGTTCAATTTCTGCTTAAGTTTTGACGTACGCAAGTGTTGCCGTAGTTGAGAAATATTTCTGTATTACGACATTAGTAGTGCACTGATAGTAACGTAGTAGAATATTTTCTTGAGCTGATTGAGAGTTTTTTTTCTCGTGTTGTATAAAATAAACTAGTTGTGCATGACATAGTACCTTAAGGGTAATTGCTAAAACTTTCCGTACAGCGATTTTTTTTTTTTATGGGACATATTTAAAAAATACCAGTTTTCAAAATTTTTGAAAAAACATTCAATTCTTATTGATTGTTAGTTTTACTATTTCTGATATTTTTACCATTTTTGTTAGTTTTACTATTTCTGATAGTTTTACCATTTACTGATTAGTTTTGGCAAAGGCAGGTCCAATCTTTTCGAAGATTCTTGGCAAAAAGCGCCAAAAATGATGAATCAGTTTTCGAAAGAACGGTGCGTCCTATTTCAATAATTCAAAAATCATTTTACTTGTATCGGTGAAATGAAAAAATGAAATAAATTTAACAGTCTTGGCAGTTATAAATCTTGGCAACAGTATAAACAAAATTTGCACGTATTAAAATTTTACTAAAATATATGATAATTCTATATACATATGTCTAATGATCATTTTTGATCATTATTGAAATCGAACGCTCCGTTCTTTCAAAAATTGATTTACCCTTTTTGGTACATTTTGCCCCATATCTTCGAAATGGTTGGACCTGCTTTTGCCAAAAACTAATCAACACGTCTCTCCATCAATATGAATCGAAAGTTTTTTTGAATCATACAAATCGGTTGATCCGTGTTCTCAAAATTGTTGTCAAATATTTGTATCCGAACACACATACACACACACGCGCGTACATTCATTTTTTAAGATTTACCAAAATGTTCAGAAACCATTGAAATTTGAAAAATCTGCAAAAATTTTCATTTTTATTTTTTTTGCGATTACTATATTCATTGCAAATTCCAATTAATTTTTAATGACTTGCAATGACTTTATATAGTCATTGCAATTTCTAACGAGTTCTTTTCGTGTGTGAATAAAACTACTTGCTACAAATCATTTGGAATTTGACGTATGAGCCACCCTTCGTTTTAAATTAGGCTTCTACAAAAAAATTTAAATTATAAATGCAACGTTTCTACACGGCTTTGAAATAATTTCTCATCTTTCCCACAATCTGTGGATTTGTACAAACATTCCAAGACTAACTTTGGCCAAATCGGTTCAGCCGTTTTTGGGTTTTAGCGAATCTAAGTTTTATGAATTTAATATCGGGCTCAATTTTTATATATAAGAAGATAATTAAAATTCATCAGATATTTAGTAATAAAATAAAAATGATATTTCTGAGTTTATTCAAAAAGATTATTCTAAAGTAAATTATAATTCAAATCATTGTACTAGCGCTCACTCTATAGTAAAATGTATACACATTTTATTATATTCAAATTTATTGGTATATTTTTTAAACTTAATTATGTCTTAATGACAATAATATTAAAATAACTGGTAATATCTATTCATTATACATTAAAACATATTTTCAAAATATAAATAAAATCTACAAATATTTCAAATAAATGATATGTTTCTTCTCATCTGGCAACACCTGGAAACGTTTTTTTTGTATTTTGTGACTTTTTGTAAAAATCCTCAGGTTCCAAATGTCTTCAGGTGTGTGAGGAATGTAAATAAGTGCTCGAAATAGTTTTTTTGTGTTCTGCGATTTTGGATAACATTTTATTATTTAGAATGTTTACATTTGTCAAGTAAGTTTACGAATTCTTAACAAAAAGCTGTTTATGTAATAATTGATGGTTATTAGTAGTAAATGTGGTAAAGGGAAAAGTTTTCAGTGAAGCTTACATTTTTTAAGTATGGTGAATTTTGAGAAAATATTTTACATGGATGGAATAAGGAAAAGGTTTAAGTGATGTGAAATAATTAGAATTAGTGAATTAATATATTAAATGATTCCATTATTGACGTGTCGGAAATTACTGCATTACTGATGCATTGTTTGCAAATTATTTTAAATTTAAAATTATGTTCCAAATCAACACAGTGTTTCAAGTTATTCTTGGTTCAGCAAATTAATAAATAGTTTTCTTGTGATTTAAGTTTAATAAATTGATTGGAATGCGATTCTCGTAGCCTCGGGCGACTCACGCATACCTTTAAAGTGACCGAGAAGAATTTTTAACAAAAAAGTAACAGGTACAAAGATCAAAAGGTACACGAATTTTATAAAAATATAGAAATTAATAATTTTTTTGATACAATTTGTTTTCTTTATTTTAATTATAAATTGTGTTAAAATATAAAGGTATGATAAAACGCGGTAAGTGTAATTATTGCACAATTTATACTTATTATTCATATCCTTAAGAATTAGAATGTTCCAATAAAACTGTAAAGAATTTCGATGTAAAGAAGTACATTTATTACTCAAAAGTACTAGAAAAATGTTACATAAATTGTTTAAAAATATATTGATAATTATTTGTAAATTAATAAAAATACTTTTGAATTTGCATATATAAATTTATATAAATTAATTTATATAATTTGAAGTAAAAAGTTTAAAGTTAGATAAGTTATTTGAATCAACTTTCATTTGATTGACGAGTTTATATGAGCTTTCATTAATCTATATTTAGAAAATTCCAGTATTTAAATATCATGATATCAAATTCAAATTAATATCAATTATCATAAAAAATGCGAAATAATTTTATAATTAATCCCACTTTATTAAGATTTATTTGTATGTATTTTTCTAAGAAAATATATACGGCTTTATTAAGAAACTAGTAGGGTGTGTGGCATTGTGCCTTAAGGCAAATTGCTGGAACTTCCCGTACCGTACCGAAATGTTCGAGGAATACTGAATGTTTTCAAATAGATTATTATAAATACTGTAACATTGTCTAATATTTATAAGAATTATATAAACTGAATTGCAAAGTTGAAATTATTTGTTTAGTATATTAGAACTATAGTCAGAATTAAAAATAAAATCTGAATTATTTTCGATATACAAAAATTTGAAACATAAGTTAAAACAATTTTTTTTTCAAAATCAATTATTTTGTTAAGACAAGCAAAAAGTTTTTTGAATCATTCAAATCGGATGCTTAGTTCTTTCAAAAACTGCCCTTTTTTGCACATTTAGCTCGAAATCTCCGAAACCGCTAGACTTGCTTTTGCCAAAAACTAATCACACCTTCTCTGAATCATTACGAATTGAATGTTTTTTTAATCGTTCAAATCGGATACTCCGTTCTTTCAAAAACTCGTTTCTATTTTCTGCACTCTTTGCTCTTTATCTCTCTTTGTAAACGGCTGGACCTGCCTTTGCCAAAAACAAATCAGCACATCTCCCTCTCAATAGGAATCGAATGTTTTTTGAACCATTCAAATCTGTTGATCCGTGCGCCCGAAAACGTGGACAAGAAGTTGTTTCCTTACATACACACACAAGCACATTGATTTTTTCTAAGGTAATCCAAAATGTTCAAAAACCTTCAAAACGTGAAGAAATGCAAAAATTTTAATTTCGATTTTTAGACGATTACAATAACCCTTACCCTATGGGAAGGTAATAATTAGAAATATATTAATAATTATTTGTAAATTAATAAAATTAATTTTATGACAACAGATTTAATAAATTAGTTGCATATATTATATTATATAATTTAAAATAATAAGTTTGAAGTTAGACAACTTTCATTTGGTAGACGAGATTACATGAGCTTTCATTAATCTATATTTAGAAAATTCCAATATAGAAATAGAGAAATATAGAACTAAAACGCAAAAATTAATATAATCATCATAAACAATTAAAATAAATTTAAAATTACGTTGATAGCATTTCTAAAAAAGTAATTTGCTAAGAAATACGTTTGTAAGAAACCAAGTTTTTATTTCAGAAATATAATAATATATCATATTTCTGAAATATAAGCTCTTTTTTTTCAATTTAATTTCTTAATAATAATTATTTTTACGTTCCTAGGATTTTAAAAATTAAAACTAGTTGATATTGTTATTTTGGCTTGAGGCAAGTTACATGAACTTCCCGATCGACTTAATCAAAAAAATAAATTAATTAATTTATGAGTGATTGAGAGTATTCCGAGTGGATTTATTATACATAATTGAAAGCGAACGAACACGTTAACTCGGAGTATTTTCTAAAAGCTAATTTTCAAAAATCAGCAATTTTTATAATTGAACCAGTTTCCGTAGGACGTTAATGGTTTAGTATGATCATTACCAAGTACTCTATCGTTATACTAAGTAAATCGTCTGATTTAATTTTAACAAACGTCAAAAAAACTACTTATTTTCTCATACTTTGGTGAATTTTTAAAATTAAACTACTTGTCGTAAGGCCATAATATTTTAGTAAGTTCTATAAGACCATGATATTTATTGCCAAAAAAAAGTTCCACAAAAATCGGCTTAAGTTTTGTTTTCAACAGTTAATGCACGAATGAAAATATTTTTCATTTCGATAATACCTCCTGAGTACATTTAATAATTTAGTCTTAAATATTTTAACTTTATTCTGGTAATTTTATATTAATTTTACAATTTCTTCCGTCTTTCCTGACACTCGTGCTTAATCTGCTCTTGATTTTATTTGTTTTGATAAATGCTCTACATAGTTTATATAAGAGTAGCGGTACTTGCAGGATGTTGTTTTTGTTTTCATATCTTGTTTATAATTGATTGTAGATCTCTCGGTATCAATGTAACGGCTTTGTCATAATTATCATAAAACAATCATTTTGTATCCGAATGATCTGCAGAGATTATAAAAATTATCCTTCGAAAGATACTTTGCTCTGTATTGAGAAGTTGGTTATTTTTTTGAGTAAATTAATCGTTTAATTTCTAGAATCTAGTTCGATAGTCTACTCTAATAGTAGTCTTTGCAAGTTTTTAACTTTTCGTTTAGTCTCTCAAACTTTTATGTATCGACTTCATTTTCAATTCGTGGACCCTGTATTTTTTTTGGCTGACAAAAAATGTTCAAACTTAAAAAAAAATCAAAATACCAAAAAGTAAAATTTTTCTAAAAAGCCAAATTTTGAATTTTTTATAATATCTAATTTTTAACTTCCCGTAGGGCAAGTTATAGTAATCGCAAAAAATCTCCTATGAAAATTTTTATATATCTTTACGTTTCAGAGGTTTCTGAATATTTTGGCATACCTTAGAAAAAATGGATGAATGCGTGTGTGTGTATGTGAGTGTGTGTGTGCGTGTGTGTGTGTGTGTTCGGATACAAATTTTCGTCGACGCTTTCGGGAACACGGATGAAGCGATTTGAATAATTCAAAAAACATTCGATTCGTATTGATAGGGAGACGTGTTGATTAGTTTTTGGCGGAGGCAGGTCTAGCCGTCCAGAACATACGGGGCAAAAAGTGCCAAAAACGGTAACTCAGTTTTTAAGAGAACGGAGCGTCCGATTTGGATAATTCAAAGAACATTTTACTTGTATTAACAAGATGAAAAACTGATCAAATTTTCATGAAGGTAGTTTTAGCGGTTTTGGAGATTTAGTAAAAAAAAGTAAAAAAAATGCCATCTGGCGGTCAAAAATGATCATTAGACATATGCACAAAATTATCTGATATTTTATAGAGATTTTAACAATAAGTATAAATTTTGTTTACATTCCTATGGGTCCCGTACTAATGTTTATTCGTCAAAAATCTAATTTTTCAGAGTAAATTTTTTTCAAAAATGTTAATCTCTAAAAAAAAAAAAATTTGGTACAGGAAGTTCCAGCAATTTGCCTTAAGGCACGATACCATGCGCCCCACTAGTTTCAACTATTTTTTCACTAGCTCAGTATATCTAATTATAAGACAAAATGCATTACATGGTAGACATTGCTTCTAACTGAATAAGTAAGTATTTTATTCAAAGCTTATTCTCTCTGCGCACGCATATGTTGCGTGAGCTTTTTAATAATAGCCAAGCGCCGAACGCAAGAGGTGCGTTTGTCTTCCTCGCATTTAAGAATAGTTTTTTTTTAAGTAAAATTGAATGTTTAGATTGAAATTTTGTACCGTAATTGTTTCAACGTGAAATAGTCCTATTTACCCTATTTTGGTACTCCAGATTTGTTTTTATTATTATAATAAACCAGTAAAAAAAAATTAGAAAAAATCTTGTTTATGCAATACAAGATTGGTAGTGAATGCGTTAAAAAATAAGGTATAATGCAAAGAAATAAATTTGTTATACTAGAATGGTTAACCAAGTACCTGGTTAACTACAGTCATTTTATAGCTCAGCAGGAACTTTTAAATTATCCAATTATTTGCAGACATTTTAACTCAAAATTATTACAATTCATAATATCATTATGCTAAAAAAATAACACTATACTGTTTACAAACAAGTAAATGCAGTGAATGCAAGACAAATATTTTTTTATTATTGTTACTTTGTTGGAAACCAGATCCCACGACATTTTGTTTCAAATTCGATTATTATCATGAAAATAAATTTGCGAAATGTCAAGGTCCGTAACGTGTGAATATAAAGAATAATGCACTACTTATTACGAATGCAGTATAAGAATATTTTATATCTTTGTTTTTTTTGTGTACAGCCCTAATGCATTTTAGAATTTATGATATTAAAAACGCTTTAATTTAAATACGAAACAACAGGTTGGTATTTTAATTGCATCGTTTATAATAATTAAATTTAAATTATGACTAGATTTTAGACAGTCTTCTTTATACCAGATCTTGGCATTGGTAACTTAATATCTTTGAATACCAAGTAAGGATTTTTTTATATGAGATAGAAGCTACGATATTAAAATGCCCCTACGTTGTAAATAAATTAATTATTTTAATTACAAATTGAAACTTTAGTTTTTGAAATCGAATCCAGATATAAATAGCTTGATAAACTGAAATTAAACTAATTATGTATTTGCCATGTTTTACTTCAATACATAAGTCACATAGATAGAACTTAACTAATTTATAAATTAAATAAGTTATTGCATAATATACTTGATTTTATACTTTTTTTATTTTACTTCTCTAGGGTACGTATACGATGAATTTCAATGATTTGTTTTTTCTGTATTAAAAAAATTCTAATAATGAAAATATTTATATCAAATATAGACAGGTTGGCCTTTGGGTTTCATAACAAAAAGACTTGTAAGTAACATCACATCTGTTTATAGGACTATTCTGCACAAGTTCTAATTCATGTTTAAAACGAAATAAGTATTAAATTTTTAAGTTTTTTTTAATCGATGCATAAATTTGCATCTTTACTTCTATAAAATGCATTTTAATAAATATGTATATTTGTTGAACGACATATAAAATTACTTATAATTAAAATAAATATATAATTTAATTAAATATATCTATATTAATTATTGTCATTAAATATATTTATTCATTAACACATTATTTCTAGCTTTTTTAAAACTTTGATTCACTAGCTGATATATACTAGATGATACATACTAGCTGGTGATATAGATAAACAAGTTGAATTCCTTATATTTATTTATTCTGAATGGATATTTTTAATTTGTATTCATCATTTAGTGAAAAAATAATATTGTAGATTAGATTTTTTCAAGTCATGCATGGTTGGTAATAAGAGGGAATATTTGGTCATTCTGTTTAATTATGTTTTAAAAATAAAAATAAGTGTGGGGACGGTTTCTATTGCCATTGTAAAATATCCGACGGAGCATAAAATTAAGTACACGCATGGGATAGACTTTAAATAATGATGTATGTATTTTGTTTGCCATTTGGACAAAATGTAATGTATTACGAAACTAACATTCAAGAATCTTTTCATTTTATTACAACTTCTTTATAGTTCTTTATAGTTTATAGTTCAAAATAATGAGTTATTTACATATATATTCAAAAATATTTGGTTAAGATATACTATCAAAAGTACCACCATACTTATGGTAACCAAAAATTTGCCATAATAATATAAAAAAATTATATTAATACTTGATATTATTTAAAAGTGCAACATGTAGTTATTTATGGGGTTTGTATGTGGTTGTTCATTCAACTAATATATATAGATTCAATTAGATTTGATTAATATACATAGATTTCCAAATCCTTTTAATAGTGTGCAACTTCTCTATTAACAATGTCGAACAAAGGATGAATTTACTGTAACGACATTGTCATCACATACATAAGTAATTCTCTTATTTTCTCATAACTTTATCAATAACATTCTTATTAATAATAACTATAATAATAACATTCCTTATTATATTTCTTTCCTCTTTTTCAGAATTGATATTTCAAATGCGACACCTTCCATGGTTGTCACACTAGCCTCCAGCCATCATTTGTCATGAATTCAACATGGCCAACGGGCTCTCCTTGCCGAGATTCGCCCCTGTCTCCAGTAAGATCGCCAGTGTGTCGAGGGTCCGCCAGCAAAACTTTAGGGGCGCCCCACCAAGGATCTTCCTTGCCTCAGGCGCGCCCTTGCCGGTCTCAGACGCTGGGCGTGTGCATCACGGACGCTGATCATGAGATTGTTAGACCTAAACCTAGAAGGTTAGTGGAATTTTATGTTTCAACTAGTGGTGCATGGCATCGTGCCTTAAGGTAAATTGCTGGAACTTTCCGTACCGTAATTTAAAATCTTGGTACGGAACCTAAAAAAAATTACACAAAATGTGTACACGTTATTAAAATCTCTATCAAATATATGATAATTTGATGTACATATGTCCAATAAACATTTTTGACCGCCAAATGACATTTTTTTTAACTTATTTTTATTGAGAGTCTATAATCGCTGAACCTGCCTTTCCAAAAATTTATACACTTCTTCATCTTGTCAATACAATGTTTTTTGAATTATTAAAATCCGTTCTCTTAAAACCTGAGTTATCGTTTTTGGCTCGTTTTGCCCCGTATCTTTGGAACGGCTAGACCAGCTTCTGCCAAAAACTAATCAGCACGTCTCCTTATCAATACGAATCGAATGTTTTTTGAATTCTTGAAATCGGTTGATCCCTGTTCCCGAAATTATCGACGAAAATTTGCATCCGCACACATAACACACATACATTCATTTTATCTAAGGTACGCCAAAATTTTCAGAAACCTTTGAAACGTAAAGATATATAAAAAATTTCATTTTCGATTTTTTCACGAGTTCTATAACTTACCCTCGGGAAGTTAATAAATTATTAGATTGACAACTGTAAGTAAGTGCGGATTTTTTTTTAGAAAATCAAAGACTTTTTTATGGAACTAAATAATTTTATTCTGTAATGCATTGTCTATTTTGATCAATGACTTTTTGTCATCTCTCAAACAGCATTATTTTTCAACTTTCATCAAATTTTTCATTAGCAAAAAACTGAATTAGGTACAATTTGACACCATCATAATAAATGAATTGTTGTGAAGCCATTCAAGGAGTTTTGTAAAGATTGAAACAAAAAGTGATGAGAAGGTGCAAGAACAGGATGATGGATTCAGCAAAATATCTAATGTAGCATCCAATAATTTTTGCCAAATGGCCAAAGATATGTGACGTCAATTGTGGAATAAATCGCAGTTTCGAATTGTTAATTAGGACCGCTTTTCTTTGACTGCTTTGTTTAATTTTGCTAGTTGTTCAATGTAGACATCAAAGTTGATCGTTCGGTTTGGTGGTAAGTAGACAACTTTCAATAAACTTCTGGTTTTCATTAGCAAAATCAGGTACAATTGGACACCATCATAACAATGAATTGAATTATTTACCATTCAAGGAGTTTTGTTAAGGTCGAAGCAAAAAGTAATCAGAAGGTCTACAGTCAGCACTGTATGGTGGATATGGTAAATCATCCCAAATAAGCTCCAAAAATTTTTGCCGAGTGACCAAAGATTTGTGATGCCAATAATGGAAGTAATCAACGTATTCATTTGTCAATTTAGGCCGTTTTTTGTCGTTTAATTTTGTTAGTTGCTCAATGTAGACATCAGAATGATAGTTCGGTTTGGTGGTAAGAGTAGATGTAGGCAATTCCTTCGTAATCAACATCAATTGGATGACCAGAATGTTTATCATCTTTGAGCTCAAGATGCCACTTTACCTTTGCAGAAATAAAAAAGCCAAAAATGGCAAAAATGTTTAATTTAATTTTCCATCTTTCAATGATTGCCAAACGAAAACTACGTAATAAATAAAAAAAAACACTTTTATACATGTGTTTAACATTTGGACCGTGAACAACTTACAACTAAATTTGGCAAACCAATTTTGACACAGCCGTTTCATTTAAGGCTTTGTCATCACAAACAGCTCATAACTTTTTGTTAGCTTGAGATGTCTTCTTACCTTTGTTGAAATAAAAAAGCAAGCCATAACAAAAATATTTGCTTTGATTTTCCATGTTTAACCAAAAGCCAAACAAAATCTACTTAATGAAGTGAAAAACACTTTTTTACTGATGGACACCTTAACTGCTTATAGATATTTGGACTTTGTCAGCTATCCCAAAAACTTAATTTCCATTAAAGAAACCATCCAAGCTGACAACTGCACTTACTTAGATGCCAGCCTAATACAATTATAATTATAATTTATTGATATTGTAATTAACAACTGCATCGAAATGATTATTTTATTATTGCGACCATTATACACATGTGGCTTTTAGGGAGACGAGGGGTTTGACAAAAAATCACAGAATATCACATGGGGTAAGGAGGGATCTAGTAAGATATCACGTGAATTTATTTTTTACCTTGATTTAAAAAATATTAAACATTTTCAAAAAAAAAATTACGTTGTGTTTGGTGAGGGAGGCAAAAAATCCTTATAAAATCGATCATGTGATTAATGGACATCCCCTAGTGAGGATGTTATCATTACAGATATAAGAGGTAAAGCAATTTATAAATATTTTTCATAATTCATAAACCATCTATCAACCATAATTTTCCACATGGCTAATTTTTGCGTTTGTGCATACATAATAAATACATTTCATTTCATAACATTCAAATTTCAATCATTCCTTTGTACGCCATGCTTTAATGAATTCAGTCTCTGTATCTTTTCTAATAAGCGTATCTAAATAATAATAAATCACCATAATCTGCGATCTTGCACACTTGCTGAATAATTAAATACGAGTCTTTTACTTATTCTGTACGAGTACACATGTAGTGTAATTAGAATTACCGTGATTCTTGAATGGAGTTGGCTGGTCCATGTGTTCACACGTTAGAATTTGTTTATTAGAATCGCGTGCTCGCACTTTGAACGATAAGCAGTTAGAATACAGAGAAGAATAAGAGAATCTTATTTAATGAAGGTAATCAAAAATGATTTATATTTAATTTTTTTATAAATAAACCTCAGCAGATTACAACCCACACCTCAGAAGATTAAAAAAAAGCTCAATGGATTGTTTTTGATTTAATTATAAGTACAAACTTTATTTTCCTTTCCTTTCTTATTTGACAATCTTTATCTAAATACTGTGAAAAACTACATCAATGGATGCAGTTCTTAGTTTTACTCTATTCTATATCATACTCAATTGATTTTATATCCTATATAGATAGATTTTTGAAAAAAAAAATGAAAAAAAAAATTTGAAACAATTTTTTTTCCAAAATCAATTATTTTGTTAAAGCAAGCAGAAAGTTCTTTGAATCATTTAAATCGGACGCTGACTTCTCTCAAAAACTGCCATTTTTTGCACATTTAGCTCTATATCTTTGAAATGGCTGGGGCTGCCTTTGCCAAAAACTAATAACCACTTCTCCCAATCATTACTAATTGAATGTTTTTCAGATGATTCAAATCGGATGGTCCGTTCTCTCAAAAACTCGATTTCTATTTTCTGCACTCTTTGCTCTTTATCTCCGTAACTGCTGGACTTGCTTTTACCAAAAACTAATCAGCACATCTCCCTATCAATAGGAATCGAATGTTTTTTGGAGCAATCAAATCGCTTCATCCGTGTTCCCGAAATCGTCGACGCAAACACACACACACACACATACCCACACATACATCCATTTTTTCTAATGTATGCCAAAATATTCAGGAACCCCTGAAACGTAAAGATATATAAATTTTTTTTTGCGATTACTATAACTAGCCCTACGGAAAGTTAAAAAAAAATTACAGATTTTTATCATTTCCTGTGTTAGGAGAACCAATTTTAAATATGAATGAAATATATGTTTTCTTATCATATAAAGAAAAGGTTTTCTATTCTACTCTAATTTACTATTTTTTTCTTGCCATAAAAGTTGAAAGTGCACATTTTTGTACAATATCAGTTTTATAAGGAGCTTCAATTTAGATGTGATTATATGGAATTGCTTCCCAAAAATGAAGTTTCTAATTCTATATTTTCTTGACGTTTCAAGTGATTCAAAATCATTTGACCTCAAATTTGAAAAAAGTATGTGTATGTGTATGATAAGCCAAAATTTAATATTTTGTCGTCGTTTTTTCAAAAATTTAAGCCATTTGAAGAAACTTATGATACAAATTGTCGTCGCTTATGTTATTAGCAATTATCAGATTAGGTGCAAAATTTTGCGTCCAGGTTTTTGCAAAAATTTTTGAAACGTTTGTGAAATTTTAAAAACTGTTAGATGTCAGTTAGAAAATTATTGGAATAATATATTGCATATAATTTATTTTTAACTAAAATATATTTTTAATATAAAAAATATAAAAATCATCTGTATTTTCATTACAGTTCCGTTCTGTATTCTGTAAAAATAAATTAAATTTTCAATGCAAAGTTTCAGTTTTGCCCTTTGTTCGTTGGCGTTGAATAGGTCTCACACTTTCTATGAATATGAATTCATTCTGAGACGTATTGTGATCGGGTCTTATTGCACTTTATACAGAAATGATCGCTGGCAGATATATATATATATATATATATATATATATATATATAACTTTTCATCATATTTTTGTACATATTTTCGTACCATTTTATTATCTACTCAAACATGTCTTCTTGATCGCAATACTTGGAAATAGAATAAATTAGTACGTTGGGTTATTGGTCCAAGAAAATATTCAAAAATTAAAATCTATTTGAGATCTGTTGACCTTAAGATTTATCATAAATTAATTTTTATATAAGTATAAGGCGTAAAATAACATATCGCAATATTCAAGAGCTGCCCAAGGGTCCTCAACGCCTCCATGCAATTTTTTCCTTGGTGCCCCCTTTCTTCTATTTCTTTAATTGGTTTTACAGTTTGTCATTAAAATTATATGAAAAACTACATGTGATTGCGCCCCCTCGACGTTGCGCCCACATTTTTCGCCTTCATGGCAATATTTTATATGCATAAATTATTCATTATTTTTACATTACAAATTTAATTTATGATCGATAGTTTGACTCATCAAAAGCATTAACACCATTTGAAATACTGTTAAGTTCTCTTAAATAATAAAGTTTAGTTTTGATACAGCGTTTTGATGGCTAAGATTAAGGGGGTCCATTAAAGAAGTGAAGTTTTAAAGGTGAGGGGGGGTTTGGCAAAGAATCACAAAATATCACGAGGGA